TAATCTAATAAAAGAGAAACATGCAAATTGACCGTACCTCTGCTACACCCACCAGCCACACCCACCAGCCAATCAGGAACAAATATGCAAATTAACCCAACTAAGATGGCATACTAGGCATCAGTGGCCTGGGTCCAGGAAACATTATAGGGCACCCAGGTCACTCTGAGGTAGGCCCTGTGTGGGCCCTGAGCATCCTAGGAAGGACCTGAGCCAGGGTGCTCCTGGGCAGGGCCTGAGCCTACAATCAGAGCCGAGGGGGCTCCTGCCCAGGCTTAAGGCTGGGCTAGAGGCTTGAGGCCTGGGCAGGTGTGGAGCCGCCGATCGGAGCGGACTGGGGGTCCCCTGCCCCGGCCTAACGCCCAGCCACAGGCTTTAGGCCTGGGTAGGCGATCGGAGCGGGCTGGGGGTCTCCTGTCCAGGCCTAACTTCAGGCCAGAGGCCTTAGGCCTGGGCAGGGTCCGAGCTGGGGATCGGTGTGAACTACAGAGGAAACACCTTTTCTGACAGCTCATTGGCTAAGCTCCCTGTATGCCACTGGTAATATTCTTAGTAACTTGGGTAATAAGAATCCAAGAAGGTGATGTAGGGTTTTTCCACCTCACTCCTGGAGAAAAAAACGAAGGTCCGCTGCTGGAGGGCTAAGAAATGTCATATCCTGCCCTAGCCGGTTTGGCTCAGTGGATAGAGCCTCGGCCTGCCCACCGCAGGGTCCGGGTTGATTCTGATCAAGGGCATGTACCTAGGTTGCAGGCTCCTCGCTGGCCGGGGCCCAGGTCAGGGCTCATGCAGGAGGCAACCAATCAAAGTGTTCCTCTCACTTTGATGTTTCTCTCTTTCCTTTTCTCTTCCACATTCTCTAAAAATCAATGGAAACATATCCTCAGGTGAGGATAAAAAAAATAATAAAGAAATGTCATATCCTGTGAAAGACATCTTGAAACTGCCTAACGAAAGTTGTCATTTTTTCATGGTGAAGGGACTGGAGTCTGTGTTGATGAACATACCTTGGTGGCTGTGGTGACTGGCAGTGGCTGCAGCAGCGGGGTGATGGGGCTAGCGCCTTCCCCTGATCAGCCTGGTCACCTCCCACAAAGGGAGGCCAGACTGCGGCTTAGGCCCGCTCCCCAAGGGGAGCAGGGAGCGGGCCTAAGCCATCAGTAGGACATCCCCTGAGGGCTCCCAGTATGTGAGAGGGGGCAGGCTGGGCTGAGGGACCCCCCCCCAGTGCACGAATTTCATGCACCGGGCCCCTAGTGTAGGTTATAAAATCCATTCCTTGATATTACTACAAATATATAAAAACTAGAGGCGTGGTGCACGAATTCGTGCACCAGTGGGGTTCCTCTGCCTGGCCTGTGGCATCAGGCCAAAACTGGCTCTCTGACATCCCCTGAGGGGTCCTGGATTGAGAGAGGGACCCTACTGGTGCACAATCGGGGCAGGGGAGAGACGGGAGGTTGGCCAGCTGGGGAGGGACCGAGGGAGGGCTCCAGGGCATGTCCGGCCCGTCTCACTCAGTCTCGCTCAGTCCTGATAGGCCGGACCCTACCAGCAAGCTAACCTACTGGTTGGAACATCTGTCCCCTGTTGGTCAGTGCATTTCATAGCGACTGGTCAACTGGTCAACTCTCTGCCCCCTGGTGGTGAATGCACATCATAGTGAGCAGTTCAGTGGCCTTAGCATGTCATTAGCATATTACACTTTGATTGGTTGAATGGCCGACTGGTCAACTGGACACTTAGCATATTAGGCTTTTATTATATAGGATAGAATATGGTAAAGGAAAAAAGTCGGAATATGATCAAATGAAAACATTGATTTGATGATGAGATTATGGGCAATTTCCCCCCTAGATTTGTTATTAAAAAGTAAAAGCAATGTTAAAAAAAGTACATTTGAAAAGATTTATGGCCGAAACAGGTTTGGCTCAATGGATAGAGCGTCGGCCTGCAGACTGAAAGTTCCCAGGTTCGATTCCGGTCAAGGGCGTGTACCTGGGTTGCGGGCACATCCCCAATAGGAGATGTGCAGGAGGCAGCTGATCAATGTTTCTCTCTCATCGATGTTTCTAACTCTCTATCTCTCTCCCTTTCTCTCTGTAAAAAATCAATAAAATATATTTTAAAAAAAAGAAAAGATTTATGAGTATATACTAAAGTTTGAAAAAAATTAATCTTAGGAAAGATAAACTTGGAGCTGCCTCTTTCGGGCATTGATAAGTAGAAACTCTGTATTAGTTTCTTATTGCTGCCATAACCAATTACCATAAACTTGGTGGCTTAAAACAACACAAATTTATTTTTTGCAGTTGGATCTCAAAAGGTTGGCAAGCTGTATTCCTTTTGGATGCTCTAAAAGAGAAATCTGTTTTCTTGCCCTTTCCTCCTAGAAGCTGCCTGCATTCTTTGGCTTCTGAGCCCTCAGTCCATTTCACAGCCAGTAGTGGTGCATCCTAAATCAATCAATCAATCTCTCTCTCTTTCTCTCTCTCTCTCTCTCTCTCTCTCTCTGCCTCGGCCATTTCTTCTCTGCTTCTGTTGTGCTATTTCCTTTTTAGCTTCTGAAATTTCTGCCTCCTCCTTATAAAGATCTTTGTGATTTCTTTGGCTCCCTTGGATAATTCAAGATAATCTTCTCATCTTAATATTCTTAACTTAATTACATCTGCAAAGTTTCTTTTGCCATGTTATGTAACATTCACAGGTTCCAGGGATTGGGATGTGGACATTTTTGGAGGGTCATTAATTTACCACAGATTCTATACATTTGAGAATAAATTCACTAACTCTCTTGTGATTTAATGCGAGGAATTGGAAGTACAGATAAAAGAGAGAGGATCCTTATTAGCAGAGAATGAGCTTGATGAAGGTTGTATCTTAATTTTGAATATTCTACAACATCTGCCATAGAGGGCTACCTTATAGTTAGCCTTACATGACGTGAGGGGTCTCTGAAAGACTGGAAACTTTTAAGTCATACCTTCATATAGTTGCTGCTTCGAGAGGAAAGAGGATTGTACTTTTTGTTAGAAGACTGGTTTAAATTTGGCCTGCTTAACAACTGTGTGACATTGAATAGTTCTCATCTATAAAATGGGAGTAGTAATACCTTTAACAAAAAATATTTTTTTCACCCGAGGACATGTTTAGAGAGAGAGAGAGAGAGAGAGAGAGAGACAGACAGACAGACAGACAGACATGGATCAGTTGCCTTCTGTATGTGCAACTAGGGATTGAACCCACAACCCAGGTATGTGCCCTGACCAGGAATCGAACCAGCAACCTTTCGATGCACAGGATGAAGCTACTCTGGCCAGGGCTCTTTTTTTAATTAAAATTCTTTAAGTTGATTTTTAGAGAGGAAGAGACAGAGACAGACAGACAGAGAAACATCAATTTGTTATTCCACTTATTGATGCATTCATTGGTTGGTTCTTGTATGTGCCCCAACCAGAGATGGAACCTGCAACCTTGGCGTATTCAGACTATGCTCTAAACAACTGAGCTACCCAGCCAGGGTGGGAGTAGTAATACTCAATTCACAAAGACTTTTATAAGAGTTTAAAAATGTAATATACACACACACATTTGCAAATAAACATTTATGTAAGGAAATAATACTTAGCTTAGTATCTGGCATATAGCAGGCACTCTCTTTTCTTGAAGGTCAGTGTTTTTGTGATACAGTAATAGGGAAATGTTAGAGAAGTTAGGGTGCGGGGCATGTGCGAGGTTTCGCTAGAGGTAGCTGCACATCTCACTTACCAGAAGCTACCTGACTAGTGTGTTTGACTCTAAGATCAGAATGGGTAAGATTTTGGGATAAGAAAAGTATGGGTTAATATTTGTAGCTAATATGGTTGCTTATCATTCTTTTTCTATGACTCATTTTACTTTTTCTATGAGAAATTTCAAAAATTTGTTTCTGTCTCCAGGCTGACTTCTTTTTTTTTTTTCTGCCTTCAGTAAAATTCCACTGCTGTTATTTCAGCATAATTATTATTGGATTTTCAGTTCCTCTCTATGGTAAGCCTAAATGCTGATGATTTCATGCATTAATTCAACAAATATTTATTGAGTGCCTTCTATCTGTGAGACAGTCAGCACTAGAGCTACAAAGATAAGAAAATGTGTGTCCTCGAGGAGCTCACAGTTTTAGTACAAAGACAGATCAACAGCTAAACTATAATGAAAAAGCTTTATATCAGAAGATTGAGAAAAACTCTGGAATTAAAGAGGAGGTAGTGCTTAATTAGGCCTAAAGATGTGAGGGAAGGAAAAAACTATACACAATCTGAGTAGCTAGATAATGAGGGGTTGGGGGAGAGGGAGGAATGGGCTTTCTGTGAGGTACAGGGAACCATATGTACAAAGGCATGAGAAAGTTTGTATGTTGGGATGAGCTGCAGGTGATTTGGTGTGGATAGGGTGAAAGGAAATGAGCATAGAAGAATAAGAAGGAACCAGACCATGAATGGTCTTATATGCCATGCTTAAGTGTTTGAACTTCATGCTATAGGTAGTGGGGAACTCTCTTTTTTAAAAATACGTTTTTATTGCTTTCAGAGAGGAAGTGAGAGGGAGAAAGAGATAGAAACATTAATAATGAGAGAGAATCATTGATAGGGTGCCTCCTGCATGCTCCTACTATGGATTGAGCCTGCAATACGGGCATGTGCCCTGACCAGGAATGGAACCACACTTCTTGGTGCATGGGTTGACGCTCAATCACTGAGCAACACCACCCATTAGTGGGGAACTCTTGAAACACAATATGCTACACCAGTATGATTAGATTTAGAACTCAAAAACCGCGGGGAAGGTAGGAAAAGAACAAGAAGATTGGTCTTTGGAAAGCCTAGGGAGATATTTTTAAGGAGAAAAAAATGGCTAACATTCTAAAACTTAAAGTGATTATGTAAAATAAAGATAGAAAAGTTTCTGCTGGATTTTGTTATTGAGAAGACATTAACAAGACATATATTTAATAAATGGGGTAGAAATCAAATTATAATAGATTGAAGAGTGAATGGGAGATGAGAAAATAGTCTACGAGTATTGACCAGTGTTAGAAAACTTACTGTGAAGCATAAGTGAGAGGTAGATGGAGAGAGGCGTAGATCTAAGAAACAAATTTTTGTTGTTGTTGTTAATGATAAAAGAATTGAACATGTTTTGTTTTGGTGGAGATTATAAAGTAGAGATAAAGTTGAATATATATATGGGTGTGTATGATTTGATGAAACAGGAAGGTGATGAGTTTGGAGGTCAGGAGGGATTATTACCCAGGGAAGAAGGAGAGATACCTTTGTCTAACTTATAGGAAGAAGATGTGTTTGAAGAGAATGTAGGTTGGAAAATTGGGTGAGGTCAGTTTTCTTTTTTCTGGTGTAGGGCAGTTGTGAGAGAAGAGGTATATAGAGTGTTTGGCTTGAGATATGGAGTAGCTAGCCACTGGTCACTGGGTGGGATGAAAAAGGTCACTGATCAAAGGCATATAGATTAATTACTAATAGGATAATTAATCTCAGTTAAGATGAAGGATTTATAAATTTGTAGTTGCATAAATTCCCATTTTGTTGTGATTTCTTCAGCAGAACTCAGCAAATGTGGTATGGGAACAGAGGAAGCAGGTGGTTAGATTGATTCCTCATGGTTGAGAGATTTACGGGCTGGTGTGGCAAAAGAACAACAAGGAACTGGGTGGAGATATTGACAAGAGAGGGAATAGTTAAGTATATTACGACACATTTATATCAAAAGCTATTTTGAAGCTCTTAAGTTTTATATTTATAAAGAGTTTATAAAAGCTTATTTTATAATGTTAAGGTAATAAAAGTGCTATGTTATACAAAAGTTTATTAGTAACGATCAACTGTAATATTCTAGGCATAATGATGAAACAGTGCTCTCAAAACCAAAGAATATTGGCGACTCCTATTTGCACATAGATAATACTTTGACAGGAATTATTATCTTCACTTTATAGGTGAAGAAAATGAAATTTAGCAAAGGTGACTTATTGAGAGTCATATTTTGGTAAATGGCAGAGAGATAACTATTATAATACTTACTGATTATTATTTTATATATGCAGTCTTTCTTAATATTTTTCTTAAACATTATTCTAATTTTCATTTTTCAGTTAAGAAAACAGACTTAGAGGAGAATAATAATATGAGCAATAGATAACTAAAGTATCAAAAGAGTGATACTGCCCATGGCTCAGTGGTTGAGTGTTGACCTATAAACCAGAGGTCACGGTTGGATTTCCATAGGGGTTGTGGGCTCATCCTCCCCCCACCCCCTGCCCCATCCCCCCAGACTCTCTTTTTTAAAAATATGTTTTTATTGCTTTCAGAGAGGAAGTGAGAGGGAGAAAGAGATAGAAACATTAATAATGAGAGAGAATCATTGATAGGGTGCCTCCTGCATGCTCCTACTATGGATTGAGCCTGCAATACGGGCATGTGCCCTGACCAGGAATGGAACCACACTTCTTGGTGCATGGGTTGACGCTCAATCACTGAGCAACACCACCCATTAGTGGGGAACTCTTGAAACACAATATGCTACACCAGTATGATTAGATTTAGAACTCAAAAACCGCGGGGAAGGTAGGAAAAGAACAAGAAGATTGGTCTTTGGAAAGCCTAGGGAGATATTTTTAAGGAGAAAAAAATGGCTAACATTCTAAAACTTAAAGTGATTATGTAAAATAAAGATAGAAAAGTTTCTGCTGGATTTTGTTATTGAGAAGACATTAACAAGACATATATTTAATAAATGGGGTAGAAATCAAATTATAATAGATTGAAGAGTGAATGGGAGATGAGAAAATAGTCTACGAGTATTGACCAGTGTTAGAAAACTTACTGTGAAGCATAAGTGAGAGGTAGATGGAGAGAGGCGTAGATCTAAGAAACAAATTTTTGTTGTTGTTGTTAATGATAAAAGAATTGAACATGTTTTGTTTTGGTGGAGATTATAAAGTAGAGATAAAGTTGAATATATATATGGGTGTGTATGATTTGATGAAACAGGAAGGTGATGAGTTTGGAGGTCAGGAGGGATTATTACCCAGGGAAGAAGGAGAGATACCTTTGTCTAACTTATAGGAAGAAGATGTGTTTGAAGAGAATGTAGGTTGGAAAATTGGGTGAGGTCAGTTTTCTTTTTTCTGGTGTAGGGCAGTTGTGAGAGAAGAGGTATATAGAGTGTTTGGCTTGAGATATGGAGTAGCTAGCCACTGGTCACTGGGTGGGATGAAAAAGGTCACTGATCAAAGGCATATAGATTAATTACTAATAGGATAATTAATCTCAGTTAAGATGAAGGATTTATAAATTTGTAGTTGCATAAATTCCCATTTTGTTGTGATTTCTTCAGCAGAACTCAGCAAATGTGGTATGGGAACAGAGGAAGCAGGTGGTTAGATTGATTCCTCATGGTTGAGAGATTTACGGGCTGGTGTGGCAAAAGAACAACAAGGAACTGGGTGGAGATATTGACAAGAGAGGGAATAGTTAAGTATATTACGACACATATCAAAAGCTATTTTGAAGCTCTTAAGTTTTATATTTATAAAGAGTTTATAAAAGCTTATTTTATAATGTTAAGGTAATAAAAGTGCTATGTTATACAAAAGTTTATTAGTAACGATCAACTGTAATATTCTAGGCATAATGATGAAACAGTGCTCTCAAAACCAAAGAATATTGGCGACTCCTATTTGCACATAGATAATACTTTGACAGGAATTATTATCTTCACTTTATAGGTGAAGAAAATGAAATTTAGCAAAGGTGACTTATTGAGAGTCATATTTTGGTAAATGGCAGAGAGATAGCTATTATAATACTTACTGATTATTATTTTATATATGCAGTCTTTCTTAATATTTTTCTTAAACATTATTCTAATTTTCATTTTTCAGTTAAGAAAACAGACTTAGAGGAGAATAATAATATGAGCAATAGATAACTAAAGTATCAAAAGAGTGATACTGCCCATGGCTCAGTGGTTGAGTGTTGACCTATAAACCAGAGGTCACGGTTGGATTTCCATAGGGGTTGTGGGCTCATCCTCCCCCCACCCCCTGCCCCATCCCCCCAGACAGGGGCAAGAGGTGGGAGTGGGTGGCTGATCAATGGTTCTTTCTCATCGTTTATGTTTCTTCCTCTCCCTCTCCATTCCTCTCTAAAATCAATAAAAAAATATTTTTAAAAAACAGAGCTAGAAGGAACTATTATGATGTAATCAAACATTTTATAGGTAGGCATACAAGGCCGTTTAAGAGGCTTGTCCAAAGTTACATTGCTAGGTTATGGCCAAGCTATATTTTATTTTAGACCAGTAGCTTTCATTCACCATTGATTAGTAATCTGTGAAAACGATAGGTCTAAAATATTGTTTCACTTTCATATATGTGTTTGTGAGCAATGCTAAGAAGCAGTATTCTTTTATGGGAATGGAATATGCCTAAAACTTATCATGCAGTAATCATCCTATTTTCCAACTAGAGAAGTCCTTGAAAATATAACTAATTCATTGCTATCAGGAGGAAATTATTATTATTATTAGCATTTTTGGAATCTTTAAAGCAGTTAATTTTAACTGAAGAAATTGCTGTTTACCTATATTATATCAAGTGAGTAGGCAAAAAAAGACTGTCAAAAGGAATTGAAATCTGAAGGAACTTAGTCTCTAGCTTAGGGAAAGATAAAGGGGGAGGGAAAAATCACATTAGTCTTTCAACCTAAGTGTTTTAAACTTTTAATTAATTATTTAAATGTCATTTCTCCTAATTGTTGAAATCATTGTTTGTTTTGGTTGTGAGCAATATTTTAGAAAAACATTTTTAAAGAAAACCAGCAATATAATTTAAAGAAAATATCATGTATGTCTCTGAAGATAAGATCATACTTCAATTTTGCTGAGCCAAGAAGCTCAACTAAAACTATCTGTTAGAAACTGCAGTTTTCTGTGTTCTGATTGGCTGTTGTACTGTTTTCATTCAGAGTTTAGTTTTGTTAACAACATCTGATTTGGTATTGGGATTTAGCTCACAAAGCAGGTTGGTTGTTGAGACATAGGAAAGAGTTAGTGTTAGTAGTGAGCATGCTATATAGATAATTAATTTCAGTGGGGAAAAATAGTATTTGTCCATGCATGAGCAAATTGTTCTGCATTTCAATGCTGCATGCCAAATAGTTGGTGAACTCTGTATTTGAATGTGGCAGCTCACTGATGCAGGAGGGAAATTTTGTTTAATCATTGTCTTTTAAAAAGAAGTTAGTTAAAGCTGTCTATTGCAGTGGTTCTCAACCTGTGGGTCATGACCCCTTTGGGGGGCGAACGACCCTTTCACAGGGGTTGCCTAAGACCATCGGAAAACACATATATAATTACATTTTTTTTGTGTGATTAATCTCTATGCTTTAATTATGTTCAATTTGTAACAATGAAAATACATCCTGCATATCAGATATTTACATTACAATTCATAACAGTAGCAAAATTACAGTTATGAATTAGCAACGAAAATAATTTTATGGTTGGGGGTCACCACAACATGAGGAACTGTATTAAAGGGTCGGGGCATCAGGAAGACTGAGAACCACTGGTCTATTGTTTCCCTTTTAGAAGGATGAAATATTTTTGTTTATTTCCCTATTCCTGTTTCCATAATTTTGTTGTTAGGGTTTTAAAAAGCTGAAGATTTAATTTAAATAGATTTTTTTGTTTTCCCTAAAGACACTAGTCATTTTTTTCTAAGCATTTTTCTAGATCTAAGGTTATTATATTTAACATCCAGCATAGTTCTAATTCTTTTTATTTTATTCCTCTAAAATAAAATATATTTGTGAGTTTAGGAAATATATTTTAATAAAATTATTTAGTTTTATTATTTCTGTATTTAAAACCTTGCATAATTTCTGGTTATTCACAGATATATGTACTGGGAATTTTTTTTTTGTTGTTCCCTGGTTCCTTAGCAGTGGTTAATTAAAGCTGGTTTAATGTTTCCAGAAATTCAGAATACCTTTCTACTATTGTGGTGAGAGTACCATGGCTAAAATTTTCTATTCAGATAGTCAGAATTTATCATCAGATGAAATATTTTAGGTTTTTTTAAAAAGAAATATTTTAGGTTTGTAATGTGTCTTTGAGAAATCATTTGCATTTGACAACATTTAACAGGGTAATCTTTGTATGTACTTAGTACACAATACCCTCAATACCATGTAACAATGGTTTATATGAATGAAACACTTCTTAAACTGAGAATTTTTATGTCAAGGGTATTTGTAGAAGATAAGATTTACTGTTTTGAGGGTGAATCCTAAGAAGTTGAGAAAGACAGGGAGATGTTAAAAGAGCATTGCAATTTCCTTTATTTCTTTTCAGTTGATTGAGCAGAACCAGTAAGTAAATGTAGTTTAATGAGTTAACTGCAAATAGAAAACAGGAATTAGTAGTTTATTTCTTCCATTTATTTATGAAATTAAATACAATTTCTCATCTACTATTTTACCATCTCTAGTTATACTAAACTATCAGTAAACTTCCAGTAATTAGGCCAAAAGTGGGAGGGACTTTTTTCTTAATACAGCGATGACTGCTTTTATGCTTGTCATTTTGGTTCTGTATGTGTTACCTAGGTCTGGTTTAGTGATAACTGAAACATCCTGAATGGCTAATACATATTTTTGGTGCCTACTATGTCACCTTTGCTGAGTGTAGGGGAGAAAAAAAACGTTTACTTTATAGGTTCAGTTACTGGAGCCTGTAAATTAAACTGACATACACCAGCTTAACTGGAAAAAGAGT